CGAAGGGCGGTTTTACCGGCTATATACAGATACAGATACAGAAGATGGTGTGTTACGCCGAAGGACGGTTTTACCGGCTATACACAGATACAGAAGCTGGTGTGTTACGCCGAAGGGCGGTTATACCGGCTATATACAGATACAGATACAGAAGCTGGTGTGTTACGCCAAAAGGCGGTTATACCGGCTCTATACAGATGCAGATACAGAAGCTGGTGTGTTACGCAGAAGGACGGTTTTACCGGCTATGCAGATACAGAAGCTGGTGTGTTGCGCCGAAGGGCGGTTTTACCGGCTATACAGATACACATACAGATACAGAAGCTGGTGTGTTACGCCGAAGGGCGGTTTTACCGGCTATACAGATACAGATACAGAAGCTGGTGTGTTACGCCGAAGGGCGGTTATACCGGCTATACACAGATACAGAAGCTGGTGTGTTACGCCGAAGGGCGGTTATACCGGCTATACACAGATACAGAAGCTGGTGTGTTACGCCGAAGGACGGTTATACCGGCTATACACAGATTCAGAAGCTGGTGTGTTACGCCAAAAGGCGGTTATACCGGCTATATACAGATACAGATACAGAAGCTGGTGTGTTACGCCGAAGGGCGGTTATACCGGCTATACACAGATACAGAAGCTGGTGTGTTACGCCGAAGGACGGTTATACCGGCTATACACAGATTCAGAAGCTGGTGTGTTACGCCGAAGGGCGGTTATACCGGCTATATACAGATACAGATACAGAAGCTGGTGTGTTACGCCAAAAGGCGGTTATACCGGCTATATACAGATACAGATACAGAAGATGGTGTGTTACGCCGAAGGGCGGATTTACCGGCTATATACAGATGCAGATACAGAAGCTTGTGTGTTACGCCAAAAGGCGGTTATACCGGCTATATACAGATACAGATACAGAAGATGGTGTGTTACGCCGAAGGGCGGATTTACCGGCTATATACAGATACAGATACAGAAGCTGGTGTGTTACGCCAAAAGGCGGTTATACCGGCTATATACAGATACAGATACAGAAGATGGTGTGTTACGCCGAAGGGCGGATTTACCGGCTATATACATATACAGATACAGAAGATGGTGTGTTACGCCGAAGGGCGGTTTTACCGGCTATATACAGATACAGATACAGAAGATGGTGTGTTACGCCGAAGGCCGCGGTTTTACGGGGTATATATACAGATACAGAAGATGGTGTGTTACGCCGAAGGCCGGTTTTACGGGGTATATATACAGATACAGAAGCTGGTGTGTTACGCCGAAGGGCGGTTTTACCGGCTATATACAGATACAGATACAGAAGCTGATGTGTTACACCGAAGGGCGGTTCTACCGGCTATATACAGATACAGATACAGAAGCTGGTGTGTTACGCCGAAGGGCGGTTTTACCGGCTATATACATGTATACAGATACAGAAGATGGTGTGTTACGCCGAAGGGAGGTATGAGAACCCCGAATTCTTGTTACCTCCATGAAAAATGGAGGTATTGTTTTTGGCGTGTCTGTCTGTCTGTATGTATGTATGTATGTCTCTCTGTGTGTGTGTGTGTCTGTCTGTCTGTCTGTGTGAGTTTCCGCAAGTTTGTGGTCAGCATAACTTCAGAACGCCTTTATGGATTGTGATGATATTTGGTATGTTGGTAAGTCTTAGGAAGACAAACGTCAAGGTTAAATATGGGCCTTGTTGGATGACGTTGGTACTGCATCAGAACTTTCGGTTTTTGTATCTTTTGTCCTGAACATGCTATGGTCTTGATGTTTTGGTGACAGATTGCCTTTCCTGTCAGAAATAAGTGGTGTGAGTTTGGTCCCCCTAGCAGCTTGCTCTGGAACTGCAGGGCACTTTCTGGCGAAATGTTTAAAAGCCAATAAGTCCAGATAGGAACAACATATTTCCATAATTTTTGGTGTGTAGGTAGCTGAAAGAGATATGTACATGATTAAATGCAAATTATGCAAATGAGGAGTTTATTTGCATAATTAATGATGAAATTCTATGATTACAATGTTTTACATTATACTACTTTCACACATGTAATGTATGCAACCTATGGCAGGCAGAACATCAACAGATACTAAATATGCAAATGATGACCTAATTTGCATAATTTACCCAAAAATTCTATGATTTCTTTATGGTGAATAATGGGAATGTCATACTTGGGACATCTGTAAGTTTATCAAAAGTTAACATACATCACGATGCATATATCATGTTAATGCGGAGGTAATTTGCATAAATAAAGAGGAAATTTACATTTACATATCAAGCCCATATTTCATGGAGGTATGAAGTCTCGGAATTCTTGTTGTTTTAGTTTTAACGCATTACAAGAAATTGCAGTGACAACTATTCGCAACAACTTTACAAGCTTTCATTTGCAAACCCATTTCCGAATGCCTATCGCAAGATAACAAAATGTACAGTTATTAGGTCAACTCGCCCAGTCTAATCACCATAACTAACCCAGTTGTCCTGAATTAGGGCAGCCGGCAAAACTGGATCGCCCTTAGTTTTAAAAAAGAAACCTCCTTGGTTTTTATGAAGTATTCACTGTTTTCCCATTCCCAGGATTAATTGTGACGGGGGATAAAATCTCACAGGTTGCATAGCACAGGAAGGTATCCCGTTGCTTGTTTTAGTGAAGACATCTTGTTTTTCTTCATGTTTCTTCTCCTCCTTCTCCTGCCATTTCTTTACATTGATTCAACTCCTTCCTCTTTGGGTTTATTTTCCTTTTTTCAGGGGGGGGGGTGTTCTTAAGCTTTTTAACATGGAACATGCGCTTTGTAACGTTACAGTGGTAATGCTGTCATGTCTGTCAAGGAGATACAACTTTATTACTCAAAATAATTCAACGGATGTTGTGGTATACAAATTTTAAAAGAGCTGCTGAACCTTCATTGTTTTAGTATCTGTCATCAATGAAATGTAAGAACACACTCAGGAACACATAATTCAGATCACATGGCGCTATGCAACTGGTAATTCATCCCCCCAGGCACAATACGTGCTGGGAATGGAAAAATGGAGAATACAAGTTTTATACGCCATGAGCTTTATTTTGCGACGATGTCGTTACACTGTGATCATAATACAGTAAGCAGAATTTTTGGTAACAGGTATTTTTTTCCAGTAACAGTCCAAAATCAAACAAGAGTTCTGAGATCTCATACCTCCATGAAATATGGGGTTGCTTTGTCATACTTCATTTCAACATGTCTTCATTAATTATGCAAATAACCTCTACATAATATATGCATAGTGGTGCTAACCTTTAAGAAACTTACACATGTCACGAGGTATAAAATTCCCACCATTCACCAATAAGGAGTCACAGAATTTTCACAACCATTATGTAAATTGGGTCATCATTTGCATAATTGGTATCTGTTGATGTTCCGCCTGCCACATGTACAGATTACATGTATATTTGTACCATTATATAAAACACTAATTATGGAATTTCCTCATTAGTTATGCAAATTAGGTCCACATATGGATAATTTACATTCAATTATGCACAACTCTATCTCAGCTACCTACACACCACAAATGAAGAAGTACGTTGTTCCAATCTGGACTTATTGGCTTTGAAAGTTTTTACCAGAAACTAACCTGCTGTTCCAGAACAAACTGCTAGGAGGACCAAACTTACACCACTTATTTCTGACAGGATAAGCTATCTGTCACCAAAAAGTCAAGACCATAGCTTGTTCAGGACAAAAGATACAAAAACCGGAAGTTCTGCTGCAGTACCACGGTCATCCACCAGGAGGCCCATAATTGACCTTGACGTTTGTCTTCCTAAGAATTACCAGCCTACCAAATATCATCACAATCCATAAAGGCGTTCTGAAATCATGCTGACAACAAATGTGCGGAAACACAGACAGACAGACAGACAGACACACACACACAGACGCGCCAAAAACAATACCTCCATTTTTCATGGAGTTAATAACAACGGTAACGTTTCCGGCGTATTTACTGCGCACTTACTTAGAATCTGGTCAGATTTAAACTCCGACCCGGAACCAGAACAAAGCTGCACGGTGGTCAAATCTGGGGTGCTAAGTTCCCACATTCCATAGAATCCGAACAGTGAAAACAAGCCCTTCTGCCTGATTGCCTCGCAACAGAATAAAAAACAACACTTTTCTATAGATAAAAACAGTTTCCTGGACAGCACAAGTCCGCTATCATTTTTTGTGGACATGTAACATGTAGCGAAGCTACTGTCGTATCCTTGGGTGACCTTGAATACTGTAATGATTCTTTACACCTTTGTGAATAACACAATACACACTTTCGGGCGATATGACATGTCTGCAAAACTCGTTCAAACCTGGAAACATGGAGAGTCAAACATACTCCATTTACGGCTCAAAATGACCGTAACGGTTGTCCCGAAAATCGTGTTTTAGGGATTTTTGAAATATGGCCTTGATTTTGAATAATGGGTAATTTAGTGAGAAAAATGTCAAAAAATGCAATTTTTCACCAATATGTCGACAAAAACTAGACTTAAAATCCGAAATTAAAAAATCCCTAAAACACGATTTTTGATCTTATTTCTAGTCGTCGAAAAATACAAAAATCGGGGATCTGGGACAATACACGTAGCCAGGTTTGAACGAGGTATGCCTAAAATCATGACATGACTTGTTCTCGGAAACCCGAAAATAACCGTCTTTCTTATCGAAATTTTAAAAAATCAGTTATTTGACATAAAAAGCTAACATTAAAAGGATGTTAAGACGATAATTTTATTTCGATTTGACGAAATTTATCACTTAATACTATTTGTTTATTTTCAAATGTTTTACGGGTAGCCCAAAACAGGCCAAAATAGCGTCTTGTAACCCGATACCTTTTAGAACGCGCCTAGCAATGGGAAAGAATACCGTAGTGACAGACCGCCGTGCTGTGTTGCCAGTGAACTTTAACCTTCCGTGACGGCAGGTTACGTAACCATAGGCAGACTTTATTACATGCAGAAGATTCTGTGGCGGGTCAGAACTGGGCTCTAACATTGCCGTCCGATTGTGCCTTATAGCTGGTAGGTGGGAATACATTCACTGTACACACTCCAAATCTCCGAGGAACGTTTGCCACTATAGCTAGACCCATTATAGATTATACAAAGCGTATTCTTGTACTACCGAGCATGGTCTGTCATACTGTTGACTGTATGAAAAGACTGGAAAAATTTCGAACGCTTAGTAATACAGGCTTTCTTTCTCTCAGTTAAATGCTTTACCTGGTTTCCAACTTCAGAGTGTTACGCTCGAAAGCTACAAAGAAATTGTTCAGAAAGAAGGCTCGGGGGGCATTCAAAGTCAGGTGGGGTGGGTCCAAAGTACAATTTAGCAGTAAAAATAGGCTGCGTGAAGCAACATGCCAGTGTTGCGCGGCAAAAATGAGCAACAAACTAGGCAATGTCACGCGCTCTGTGTCGTTCTTTGATAGATCAATGATACAACGTCACTATATTTTTATGTAAACACTATATTGGTTATCAGTTGAGTTGACCCTAAAGGTTGAGGTCACCCTTGTGGTAGCAGGACACAGTTTCCGGCCTATGGGGATTTCTATAGTTAAGAACCCCATAGTGAACTACTTTGACGCGGTAAAAATATAGTAGGGTGCAAAAGTAAGGTACAGAATATGTTTGAGTTGTTTGAGTTCAATGTATAAATTATCATGTACAAAATGTGTGAAAATGGTCTCAAGTTTGTCGGCTAGTTCGCTCGTGACGCAATCTTTTAAAAGCGCTATGCGGAAGGTCATGGAACTGCAGCAGGCGCACAGCACTAGGCTGTGACAGTATCAAGGTAGCAGAACACAGTATTAATGGGCGACCCCCGGGTTTGTGACGCGGGTATAGAAAGTAGTGCAGCAAATATTCTTGAAGGCTGGGTAGAAAGCCTGATAAGAGCGTCAGCCAGATGTAAATTGTGCTGTGTGGTGCAGGAATGTATCGGGTTTGAGACTGTATGATTTGAATTGTGAAGGTTTTGCAGTTCGTGTATAAATGCGCCGTATTGCGCAACTGGCTTTCCTAGTGAGTCGGCTGCAGTTCAGGTCACGTCCGTAGAGGGCGATTTCAAAGTGTACGTTACGAGCAGATACGCCGACAGAATTTTTTGGTTTCTAGATATTTTGTAGTTTGTACCTTCTTCTGAAACATATTCGATTTTCGTATTTTTGAAGTGCACCCTGCTATAATTCTTACCGCGTCGAAGTGAGTCATCTTGGGGTCCTTAACTATAGAAATCCCCATAGGGCGAAAACTGTGTTTTGCTACCTTAAACTGCTATCGTCACCGGGTCGCATCTTGTAGTGCGCACCACATAAATGACGGAAATGTAGTCGAAAAGGTCAGTCCATACATTCTGAAAACTCAAAGTATTTCGCAAACATTGTATTTTCGCATATCTAGGGAAATACTCCTGAAGATGGCAACAGCTTCCGGAATCGCCATTCCTCAGTCTGCAGAAGACATCGCCCCCTCCTGGGTGCAGCAGGTACTGCAGAAGGACCTGCCGGGCGTCTCCATCACGGACGTCCATGTCAGGGGATCCATCAGCCAAGGCGAGGGGTTCATGAGCGACATCATCGCTTTTGATGCCGTGGGGATCAGGAACGGTGTGAGTCAGCGATACAGTCTCGTCGCTAAGCTGACAGATTTCAAGCGGCCGTTAACAGTAATGAAAGAGTGGCCAAAGGACGCGCAGATAAAAATCGATACTACTGAAGTCAAGTTTTACTCGGACGTGGTCCCCGAGCTCCTCTCTCTTGCAAACCCAAGCACAGAGCGACAAACCGACAAGGAAGAAACTGACCCTCCTGCTAATTCCTTATCGATCCCAAAATGCTACTTCGCCGCTACCGATCCGAGTTCTATGGTGTCCGTCAGGGTTATGGAGAATCTGAAAACTCAGGGCTTCTCCATCAAACCCGACCGCCAGTCGCTGAGCCGAGATGAGATGATGCTTGCAGCCGGGGCGCTGGCGCAGCTGCACGGCCTGTCACATCGGCTGGAGCTCCGCGTAGGCGTCCCTCTTCGTCAGAAGTACGACTGGATCGTGTCTCTCTCAGATGTCAAAGCTGCGTCAATGCAACTTGCAGGGCCCATGTACCGGGAAGCCGTAAAGGAATTCGCCGCAGTCTTTCCTGACCAGGCAGATCTTGTAGCTCGTCTGGAGAAGTTAAACCTTCAGCATCCAATGATGGAGGACCCGAGGCTTATGGTGCTAAGCCATGAAGATGCTTACGGCAATAACATCATGTTTAAGGTAAGACTTGGTGTCTTCTTTCCTTTCTTGATTGAATCAAAAAATTAGAGGGTCACAATTTTTTTTGGGTTTGTTTTAATTTCTATCAATGTTCTTCAAGATGATTTATTATAATTTTTGTGGTATTTGGTCTTCAGTGCGCTGAGGATGTGCCCACTGATGTGAGGCTGGTGGACTGGCAGGTTGTTGCGTACCTGCCACCGACCTATGACCTGGCGTTCCTGTTTCTTTTAAACGCGGATCCGGACGTCTTCCACCACCACAGGGACGCCATCCTGGCGCACTATCACCACAAACTGATGGAGACCCTGGGTACAGACGGTGAGAAACCGCATCTCAACTATTCACAACATCCGCCAGTACCCCCACACACAACACCCGACTAAGCACATGGGGGGGGGGGACTTTAGCTGCCAAAAGCTCGCTTGCAGTAAAAAGGAGATCGCTTTCTTTTTCCGATGCAGTCCTCTGGAACTCACTTCCTCCTCATGTCAGGAATGCAAAAACACTCAGTGTCTTCAAGACTACCTTTTCTTTACTCAACAGTTAATATGATTTGTTGTTAATTTTCCATTCTGCTTTTCGACATTGATATGCAAATTCAGTTCCATTATTATTTATATCATTTGTCATATTTATTTCGTATGTTTTATGTACTTTATTAGTCTGTTCCGTTTCTTTTATCATTACCCTTTGATTATACTTAAGTTACCTTTTATTATGTTATGTATGTCACAGGGAGCTTTGAAAAACTCCAAAATGGCGATATGCTAACCTGTATGAATAAATAAAATTAATGAAATGAAAAAAGTATCACTGTGAACATTTCCCAGTCAGGCCGTGTTGATTTGATTACATAGATGACATCCACGCGCGCATAAATTTTCGGCGACGACAAAGACGAAAATGTAAAGAAACGAATTGAAGAGTTCTACATTTTTCGCCAGACCATTCAGTGTCATTTGTTGAACCTTCATGACCATGCAAATTTCATAATGAAAGCACCTTTTTTTTGCTAAACTTTTATTTTTTCGCACGCTCGCATTAGTTTGGGGGTTCCCTGTGGATGTCATTTATATAATCAAATAAACATGGCCTCAAATATAAAAGGTGAATGCGTTTTAAATTTCTATTTTATTTCCCGTATGCCTTGCACAGTTATTTATATAATATTAAAATGAATTTAAAAAAAGGACTTAGCAATGTATATTTGCCTTGCCTTCGAATTTCTATAGAATCCTCGGGCCTACAGAGCTACACACTGGAACAGCTGAAGGCAGACTTTAAAGCCGACTGTCCGTTTGGGTTGTTCCACGGTCTCATACGGTTGAGGGGCCTTCATGCAGATCGAGGTTTGCTGCAAATAATCCAGGAGATCAAGGAGTGGGGAGTTATCTAGATATACACATGACCGATAAATAGACTCTCCGCGAGTACTTGCTTTTTTTCAATAATTTTATTCAAGAAAATAGAATAAATATTATACAAATAGACAAAAAGTACATGGATTACAATAAGCTACATAAAGACGGCACATTTAGTCTTGATAAACAAAAAACAATGCATGTCTTTTCTATGGTTTAAACAAAACTATAGATACTACATAGTACTGAAACAAGAATAAATTAATTTATAATTGTTGATACATGTATAACAACAAGGCAAAAAGAAATAATTAATTCGAACATAATGCAATTTTATAGTTGGGGTGATTAAGATTCCTGTCACCATATATGTAAATGTATTGTGTGAGAATCAACAGAGCAGACCTAGAGCAGACCAAATTATGCGAAGGTAAACATTATGCATTTGCTTTGCAAATGTAAGCTTTGTAGTTGTTGTATCTTTTACTTTGATGCGGTGAAGTATTTAATTCCCTTTACACGTGATGGTGGCTGTGTATATGTGATGTTCCCACTGGATCAAAATTGTAAAACGTTTGCAAACTTTTTTTTCAAAGTTGTCTCAGTGACAAATGGATGTTGTAGTAGGTGTGAATATACCTAACACAATATAGGCACCATTTCTCGTCGATCTAACGAGGTTGATGATGTCAAAATTTGAAAATGTTGGAATCTTGTTTTTTTTGGGCTCGCCTTGTTTTTTGTTTCGTCATATCGCATTAGATTCTTCTAGGGAGGATGTCAACTATAAAACTTAAATTGCTGTGACTTAGAAAGTTTATTGCAAGTTTCTGTCCAAAGACTAATCGTAGAAAACATAGATAAAATACCAGTGAAACAGAGTACAACACAAAACAGGATGGGGGTAACCAGGATCTAAAGGGGGAACGGAAAAGGGATCTGGCAAATTTCAAACTTAGGTCCTCCCTCCTCTTTTCAAGGGAGGGGAGACCTAGGTTGGATAAGGCGTCGTTATAGCATGTGTACTCAGGACCAAGGGTTATCCGTAATGCACGTTTCTGAATACGCTCAATCTTCCTGGTTACCTTCGCCAAGAAGGTTATGTTTTCAGTAGCGTTTGTCTGTGTGTGGGTGTGTATGTGTGTGTGTGTGTGTGTGTGTGTGTGTGGTTTAGCAAGATAACTCGAGAAGCAGTGGATGGATTGGAATGAAACTTGGTAGGTGGGTAGGTCTTCATGAGACCTAGAAATGATTAGATTTTGGGCCCCCTGGCGGCTTTCCTAGGTACTGCAGCTGAACTTCCGGTTTTGATATTTCATGTTTCTGGACATGCTAGGGTCACGAATTTTGGTTGGTAGATAGCTCTTGGGATAGGGAAGAAGTGACATGAGTTTGGGTCCCCTAGCGCCTTGTTCTAGAACTGCAGGGGCATTTGTTAGAAAAAAATTTGAAGGACGATAACTCAAGAACAGGTTGACGTATTGTCGTGACTTTTGGTATGTAGGTAGTTGAAGTGATGCTTGACATAAGCATATGGCAATTATGCAAATCAGGAGCTAATTTGCATAATTAATGAGGAAATTCTATAAATCTGCTTTGTTCGATAATAGAACTATGAAACACTTGTGGCATCTACTTGAGAACGAGAAAAACATCTGAGGATATAGATTATGTAAATGAGGACCTAATTTGCATAATTAATGGGAAATCCTTATAATTCCATAGTTGTAACTGCTGCACCCCGAATCTATACTTGCCACATTTGGAAGTTAAGTGAAGGTGAACATCAATAAACATAATTTATTCAAATCATGACCTAATTTGCATAATTTATGTGGAAGTGCTATAATAGCCTTTTTGTTAAGAGAAGGCTGTCATTGGGTGAAAAATATGATCAACTGATATAATCCATGCAAATGAGGCTCTTATTTACAAAATCAATGATTAAAATTGTATAAATCATCACCCGCAAGGGTTAACATTATTTGGCGAAGGTATGAGATCGTGGAACTCTTGTTTGTAGTGCCGTAATGCCGGAGGTCCAGATGGGTGCTGCTTATTCAAGAATCAGAACATGCAAACAGACTAATCAGCTCACTGCCCCCCTCCCCAGATCAAATCAATATAAAAATAGCCCGATACCTTATCTTACGAACCTATTAAACAAATATGGCACATAGTAAATCTCCCATGACCAATCCTATCAAAATTAGTTTTTATGTAACATACTATAAAATTATTATTTTTTACACTGATGATATTGATTACTTATTGGTTGATATTGTGAATATTGTTTTAGTATAAGTTCATTTTACGCTCTTTTTTAGTTGCCTATATGTTTATTATTAACTGTTAAATACTCGTTTAAGTTGTCTATTTGTTACTCGTAACTGTGCAATATTTGTCTCTCTGTTTTTAAACACTAGCATGCAATTCAGAGCTACTTTTTTTAGTTGCGCTGCCACGTGCTAGCGATTGTACTTATTGATCAATCAATAAACAATTATTATAATTGTAAAAGCGGCTGAATAAATTTTCATTTGTTTTCTACATATAATAAAAGGCAATTGTCTGGAATTTTGTCTGAAGGATTTCACTTTACTTTTGTAAACCATGGAAAATGTCTTTCCCAACAATTTTGTTTATTTGTTTATTTGAATTTACTTCAAGATATACAAGTGGAAGGGAGGACAAAACAGGTGCGTTGACACCTTTACAAGTTGTCCTCCCAAACACAACATACAGAATATAAAAGCAGATGACATTATTAAATGCAAAACAAATTTTACTATTGAACAACAATAACATCAAATATTGTACATCAACATCAAGTATAATACATTAAACATAAAAAAAACTGTACAATGCAATTTCAAGGTATATACACATGTAATACATTATTTACAAAAATAGCAATGGTTAAAAACTGTGTGGCAACACTAGTGAGGTCGTAATGCCGTGCAGGAGGCGCACCCACATGACATGGACCATGAGCAAGGAACGTCAGAGCTGTAGTAGGCAGTGAATCTACTGAAAGTGGCTCTATATAACAAGAGATTTCTTAAATGCCAAAATGTTGGACAGTTGAGTGGCTTGTGTACCAGAGTTACGGAGGTCAGGACTCAGCTTGTTCCAGAGCAGAGAAGGGAGGACCTAGAAGTGGGGTGTAGTGAGCTTTCTTAGAAAATAAGAAGAAGTACACGAAGTCTGTGCCCGAGCATTTTTCAACGTTGTAAAATGTGCATATTATGCTTCGATTAGACACGAACTGTCATTTCTCCCCAGAACTCCGAGGCTTTTCAAAAATAATCTATTTTAATATGAAGTAATAGAAGTGGCGTGATTTTATCTTATTGTTTTTAATGATATATGTTCCGACTTGTTTCAACTGCGTCTTAAATATGTACTGTTATCTGTAATTTGCTCTATATGATCCCGTTATTCGACAAGTACGATTTTAATGGAAGAATCAACAAATTTCATGTGATCATACAATGCTGTATGTGACATGCATGCTGATTACAATAAATCTGAATTCTGAATCCAAAGGAATGTTATGTCAGGTTGGATTGGTCGTACACTTGTATTTGGTACAGACACCCCAATCCTCGCAGGTCCGTACAAAATACTATTGAACGTAAAGTCGCTCTACTTGCTGATGTGGGGAAATCAAGGGCAGAAGACAATTGGCCCCGGTGTGAAAATAATGATCGTTTTGGTAATAATAAAGGTGATTACTAGTTGTCCCAGTTAAATCGTAGAAAAATTCTAATGATGACGAGGCCGACAGAGACTATTGCCATGTTACAGTCAAAGTCTGCTTCTTTATTACTTTCTAATTACATATGATAATCATATTTGCTGGTTAGATTACATTGTAGATTTTGATTTTTTTTTAGTTAGCTCATACTCATCGCAGTTTCGAAATCAGGGATATCGGGGCCAAAACATACGGAACAAGAGTTCCGAGATCTCATACCTCCATGAAATATGGGCTTGATATGTACATGTAAATTTCTTCTTTTATTATGAAAAGTACCTCTGCATTAACATAATATATGCATCGTGCTGTTAACTTTTGATTAACTTACATATGTCCCAAGTATGACATTCCCATCATTCACCATTAAGAAATCATAGAATTTTCGCATTAATTATGCAAATTAGGTAATCATTTGCATAATTGGTATCAGTTGATGTTGTTGATGAAAATATGTTGTTCCTATCTGGACTTATTGGCTTTTAAACATTTCGCCAGAAAGTGACCTGTAGTTCCAGAACAAGCTGCTAGGGGGACCAAACTCACATCACTTATTCCTGACAGGAAAAGCTATCTGTCACCAAAACATCAAGACCATAGCATGTTCAGGACAAAAGATACAAAAACCGGAAGTTCTGCTGCAGTACCAAGGTCATCCACCAGGAGGCCCATATTTGACCTTGACCTTTGTCTTTCCAAGACTTACCAGCATACCAAATGTCATTACAATCCATAAAGGCGTTTTGAAGTTATGCTGACCACAAAGTTGCGGAAACACACACAGACAGACACACACACACACACAGACACACAGGAGGCACGCCAAAAACAATACCTCCATTTTTCATGGAGGTAATAACTTAGGGAGGCCTAACACGGGTGACGGCGCGTCTGCAAATCTGTGGCGAACCCTTTCAGGGTGCTCCGTAGAAAAAAAGGATACAGAGATTTTTTATACTCTAGACCAAATTGATAATCAAAATTAAAGAATGCACATGTTCATTTCTCTAGAACAATGTCTCTCAGACGAAGGCATGAGATCTCCGTCCTCTAGTTTCATATGTATGAATGGATTAATATTATTTTAGACGCTTGCAAACGTAGGAAAGTTTGTTGTGGCATTTGAAGTCTTCCCACTGACCCCTTTTCCTCCTTGGCCCGGCTTTCTGTCGAAAACGTCACATACATAGACAAGAGACAGTCAGACTTCTGGTGTATTTTGCAACTGTATGGAAGGGGAGATTTATGCTTGATATCATATTTACAAAGTGCACATACCTGACGACCTCATACCACATCCTACTTACACTCTACTCTCCAAGCAGAGGTTTGGGTTTTGGGGGTATTTTTAGCGTGTTTTTAGGCTTTTTTATCTGGGTTTCTCTTTTGCATTGAATTCTTTTTCCCACCAAACCCAACCTCTGCCAGCAGTCGAAAGCTTCCATGGGCTATAAACCTAATCACTTCAACACATTTCAGTCGTTCTGCAAGTAGGTGTGAACCAGACGCATGAATAGACACAGTCAGCAGGAGGCAGGTGGCCAAATGAATGCCTTTCTGACTGGCTGGATGTGTGATAATCCACCACAATAAAATGGATATCCCTAATGATAGTTTGATGGTTCCCGGTGAGGAGCACTGTCACGTTTCTTGAATAGGTTTGCCCCGCCCCGGGGTGAGTGCCGGCAGAGGTTCGGTTTGGTGGGAAAAAGAATTCAATGCAAAAGATAAACCCAGATAAAACACGCTAAAAATACCCCCAAAACCCAAACCTCTGCTTGGAGAGTACTTACACTCTACTCTGCTTACACGCTTTATGTGATTGCAAGATTTACGCTGTCAGGTCTTTTCATCTTAAGTCTTGTTTTGACAGCTGGAATGAACTTTACCCCTTTTCCTTTTAGTAATTAGGCCACAGCAAGTAATTTTTATGGATGACATCCTTCGGAAACTCCAAATCTAATGGGAGCAGGCGAAAAAAAACAAGGCGGCCCGACAAAAACAAGGTCCCTACAATGTAAAATGTTGGCTCAATCATTGTACAAATGGTTTTGATTCAGTGGGAACATCACATATACACAGCCAACATCACACATACACAGCCGTCAAAG